GGCTCTGATATCATGTCTCAAACCTGGCTCTGATACCATGTAAGAAACTGGGGGAACATGGAAAACCCATATGAAGCCCAAATGAGGTTCCATCCCAAAACCAATTACCATGTAAGAAACTGGGGGAACATGGAAAACCCATATGAAGCCCAAATGAGGTTCCATCCCAAAACCAATTGGTGAAAGGAGGAGTAGCCCATTAAACTTATTAAGTGGGTCTATTTTCCATGTATTAACAATGTGGGACAACTCACAAGTGATATTCTAACACGCCTAAAGATCGAACGAATTCTCCGAATTCGATCACTCCATTCTGCTTAAAATCGAACAAATCGAATATCTACATAAAACACATTACAATTTAGCTATTTAGATCCATACATATATAAAATCGAGAATTTAAACATCTTTAAGAAAGAAAAAAAAAAAGTCGAAATTGACATTAACATTAACATTAACATACCCTGTCTGCAAACAGATTCCTCCTGTTCTTATTCCTAAATAGTGCTAGCTGGAATTCTTCCTAATAAATTCCCCAAAAAATAAAAACATTAAATGAGTGTGATTAAATCAAGAATCAGCAAAAAAAAAATCAGCGAAAAAATCGACGATGATTTGATACCTTATGGATGAGTCCATCATCGATTATTGAACTGCTAATTTTCTTAAACAGTTCGTGCAAAGCCCCGACTTCACTAACTGTGACTGCAAACAAAAAATAGTATTATCTATCAACCTTTTTACTATTGAATGTTTGAATGTTACACATATAGATATAAAAGAAAATACGAAAGTTACACGATTTCTACTCACAAGGCGTTTCGGCAGCAAGAACCGAAGGCTCCTCATAACCGGGATAATTTCTAAGGTTCTTAGAGTGAAAGCAGCCCATTAAAACACGAAACACGATCAAATTTGTTTACGATCCAATGAACTCATGCTATTGAACAAATTTTCAAATTTAACCTGTCAAAAAAACGAATCATATCACTAGGCTCGGGCTCAGCTCGTTTATTAACATAAAGATTACATATAGGCTTGTAAAAGTAGAGTGACATTATACTAAGATCAAATGAAGATAAACCATCAATTTTTTTTTTTTTTTTTTTTAAGTTTCTAAATGATCTTGAATAAATGCAGCAAAATATAACCAGAAATTAGTAAATAGGTACACATTTTCTGGGACCAGCCTGTCAACATGTGGGTGTTCAAATCAAATGGGAAAATTTTTGTATCAAATTAACCAACCCCTTTGGACTTTTATGTCACCAGCCAAATTGACAAATTTAATTTAATTTAAATTTGTTTACTCTAAGAAAAATTCAATCACATAATAGCAACAAGATTATACATGATCAGATTTAGTTTCTTCTAGACTGGAAAAATAAATGCTTAAAAAAACACTAAAACAAGAAATAAAATGTGAATATATATTTTACAGCTTTTCAGATGAAACTCATACACTCATAGCTCT